TGCAGAAAGGCCACTGACTTCGTGACTGTGCCATGTCTGACAAGGTTCCAAACATGATGTGGACCATCGCGGGGCACCCATCCAAGAAGACGGTATGTATCAGCCCGACCAAGAATCTCAGTCAATTTCTCCAATCTCCAATGCCATGTGATGGACTGGTTACCTCGAGGTTTTGCCCGACTTGGTGCAGCCACTGCGCATAATGCATGCCGAGGAAGCCAGTCAACCGACAAACAGACATTGCCAAACCAACGTACGCGATTGAGATTCAGCAAACATTCGAGTGAGGCACCAGAAGGCTCCTTCCCAAGAACCAGCTGGTGGACCTCAGCATTACTCACTCAGTGTTCTCAACAGAAGCGAGTAATACTCCGCAAGCACCGCTGGTCAAACGGCCAAGTGTTTAATGTCCCTCACTTTGAAGCTGACCTTAGTTGGGGCGTTACGGTTCCCTGGTTGGGGTCCAAAAGACGATTAACAGGTTTGGTGAGATATACTTGCTGACATGGTTAGGAGCCGACTTCGGTGGCGTTCCTGCTGTGAGTTTCTTTGTCTCTCCCCATCCCTTTTAGCATCCCCTCCAACCACGATCGCATTTCGCAGAACAATAGAATCTAATAAAATTATTTGTTGTTGCCTAGTAGCCGGCTAGTAGCTTTCCGGAACGACGCCCATCCGGACACCGACCATGCACTTGTGTGTACTGACATGCGGATGCGTTTTGGCGGACACCCATGACGGCGCTGTGAGCGCATTGACACCAACCAACTGACAAAACCAGCTGTTCTGAATGCGTATCGAAGTACGCTGACATGCGAGTTGAGCAAGCGCTCACTGGAGACAATTGATGGTCACTGGTCACATGTTCACCAGACCTTACTAGCAGTAGGCGAATCCTCATGTGGTAAGTCTAGTAGCCCACAAGGACATTGGGTCTCTTCGCGGTCTCTGGAACTGATCGATGCTCGCCGGCATATCCCGGCTGGGAACGAACACAATGAAACTCGCAAAGAGCTCCGGGCAAAAACTCCGTGCTAGCCTGAAAATAGACCGTGAATCCTGGTAGCCTCTACGTGCGTCCGAGATGGAAGTGGCCGCTGCCCTTGGTAACCATCGAAAGTTATTCCGTCTGATACGGGAAACAGTCAACAGGAGACCTGGTGTTAGTGAAACAAGTTATGACGAGAGTGGACAGCCTATCCACAATTTGTCAAAACATTTGGAGCGTTGGGCTGAGCATTTTGAAAATCAATTTATTCGGCCAGAATTGTCAGATTCCTCACCGGCCACTGATCGCTCTGCTCCCAGGGCTATGCCTTTAGATCCACCCTCTCGGTCAGAAGTCGAACGTAAGATCGGACTGTTGAAGTTGAACAAAGCCGCGGGACCAGATGATCTTCCTCCAGCCCTCTTCAAATTCGGAGGCTCTGCTCTTGTTGATGCTTTACATGAATTAATAGTGAAACTGTGGGAGCAGGAAACCGTCCCAAACGATTGGAGCCGCTCCGTCATAATCCCAATATTCAAGGGAGGCTCACGATCGGAATGCGACAACAATAGAGGAATTAGTCTGATCTCCATCGCCTCCAAATCGCTTGCCTCTGTCATCCTTCACAGACTGACCGGCGCTCGTAAAAGCCATATTCGTGAGGAGCAAGCCGGGTTTTGTCGGAGTCGTGGCTGCTTCCACCACGTCTTCACCTTGCGTCAGTTGTTGGAGCACCGTCACACATAATGGCGGCCCACCGTAGTTTTGTTCCTCGACGTCAAAGGTGCGTTCGATTCCGTGGATCGATGTGCTCTTTGGAATTGTCTACTCAGGAAAGGTGTGCCCGAGAAATATGCAAACATTATCAAAGCGCTGTATGTGCATAGTTCGGACGGAGTGAAGGCTTACGGCAAGTTGTAGCCGCCCTTTAATATCTCTAGCGGTGTGAGACAAGGATGCCTACTGTCACCTTTCCTCTACAACTCCCGCTATTGACGAAGTCATAGAAGTAGCGTTCACAGTACATGACTTAGAAGGTATGGAGCTACTCCCAGGAGAACGACTTCTTGACTTGAAGTATGCAGACCATATTGTCCACATCTGTGACAGCTCCCAGACGTACCAAGCTGCACTGAACAGATTAGCATTGGCTGACAGATGCTTCGGGCTTTGATTTGCACCATCGAAGTGCAAAGCTTTCCTCCAAGATTGCCCTGGACCGCCTCTCTCGCTGACCCTTGGTGGGGATCAGCTAGAAGTCGTTTAGAAATTCAACTACCTGGGAAGTTGTATCAGCGCCCTCGGGATCGAAGATGACATCACGAACCGTATAGCAAAAGCTTGATGTGCTTGTATTAATCTTCGCCACATATGACGGCGGCACGACATTACTTTCGCCCTGAAGGGTAGTGCACAATGCAGCGGTACGCTGGACTCTACCGTACGGTTGCGAAACCTAACCCCTTATATCAGCGGACATAAGGAGGCTAGGTACGTTCAACCATCGGTGCCTTCGCAGTTTGGCTCACATTTGGTGGGAACACCGTGTGAGCAACGAGCGTGTTCGACGCTTTGTTTCCGACACAGGAAAAGGAACTGAACCGCTCAGCATCGTCATTTCACGCACCAGGCTCCGATGGCTCCGTCACCTGTTACGTATGCCAGCCCACCGGCTCCCGCGAGGTGCGTTGTTTGTTCGCCGGGGGGGGGTGGATGAAAATGTGAGGTGGCCAAGCGATGACTTGGTCGAGAAGATGAAGGCCCTCGCTTCGTAGCTGGCCTCGGTTGGAGCGTCACGACTCCCTGGTTGGGGTCCAAAAGACGATGAACAGGTTTGGTTAGATATACTTGCTGACATGGCTAGGAGCCGACCTCAGTGGTGTTCCTGCTGTGAGTTTCTTTGTCCCTCCCCATCCTTTTTAGCCTCCACTCCAACCACGATCTTGGTTCATAGCATATAATTTTACATAATGATTTTTTGTTGCCCAGTAGCCGGCTGGTAGCTTACCGGAACGATGCCCACCCGTATCCGGTAGCCCAGCTGGCATGCAACTGTTGCAGTTTACTTTTTTTCTTTCATGTATTGCAGCACAGTAGCTGAGGTGGTTTACAACTCCGGCTATCGTGTATAATGATGAATGATATGTTTAATGCTTACGCTGTGAACTGGCCAGGTCGCCGATTCATACAGTTACACTAGCATTACCGCAGCGTTATATACACTGCCTTTCACTGACAGACGGATATCCTACCGTCTCCACAGAAGGTTCAGTCTCTGGAAAGCCACACGGACCTTGCCGACACGTGAAGTAACTTCTTATGTGATGTGACCACCAGACGTGACACAGCTACCAACGTAAGTGAACCGATCCACCACTTGCAGTGGCTGTTGGGAAATAGCTGGAATCGGAGGAGTGTCGGTCCAGTCCTGCAACAGTACTTTGCACTTTGGAGGTGAAAAGTACATGCCGAAACAAGCACACAAGTGCGCAGTAAGGTTTGTATAATAAATGCATCAGAAGCAAGGAGAATTATGGCGTCTGCATATTCCAGGTTTGTCAGTCGATCAACTGGCAGAACTTCTACTACAGATTAGTCTGAAAGATCCGAGTCATTCATGATTATTTCGATCACAAAGTTGAAGAGGAAATGAGATATAGGACAACCCTGGCGAAGCCCACTTGTCCTGGGGAACTAAGGAGAGAGTTTCCAGTAGACTCTTACACGGCCTCGGGAATCACGGTAGATGGACTACATAATGGTACGCCCTTCAAGAATAAGGCAGTGTCAAAAGCAAACGCAGTCAACAGAGTCGAAGGTGGTTTTCAATTCAAGGAAAAACACTATTATCGGTCTTCTGTATGTGTGTCTCTGTCGGCCCGTGGCCGAGTGGTCCGCACGTTTGCTTTGCTACCATCAGGTCAACGGTTGGAATCCGCGTAGGGGTGGGCGTCCTCGCGGTATACTCAGCCCACGCGCGACTGGTGGTGGTTGTGCGGCAGCGAAGCGCCGTTACGGCGTACAGCTGACACATTATTATTATTTGTGTCTCTGCTCTAAAACTTGGTGAAATGTTTTGGTTTGGTGAAAAGGGACACATTATTGTTGCATGACCAGATATTTTGGAAAATGACCATCGTCGTATCTAAGCTGATGGAAAGGGGCCGGAAAAATAGTTGTAACGCAACTGTGGAAAACAGTAGGATGTTTCGAAATTATGTGGAGCAAATTTAGTTGATAATGAAAAGTTGCGATGGAAATTGTGCATCAGGACTCGGTGTCGTGGAAATGTTTTGAGGCGTGCGTTGGTGGGATCGAACTATTTTTATGCATCCCGCATGTGTGATGAGCGGCCAAGGTTGATAAACTCAGTGCAATTAGATTTTCCCCCTTCTTCAGAGATGTTACAACATGCGGACGTGTAATGGATTAGTCGAATTCTTCCCCATCGGACTACACACACACACACACACACACGGATATTCCAGCCAGTCACTCGTGGTCTATTCACATTTAGGTACGTGCATAAAACTCATCCAAGTGTGCATATTGCTACACACGCATCACCAACAGTTCACCGTAAGTTAGTTTATCTAAGAAACTAACTGCATCTACGAGCCCGATCCTTTTCACAGGAGATGCGTAGAAGGACAGGTTATACTGGGTACTTGGAAAACCTCTCATTCTGTTGGCCAAAACAGCCCGATCATGGAAACCTACTTCATAATGACCTCGTGCATACTGTGATCGATTCTAAAGTCAAAATTCATCAGATCCCTTTAAACGCCGTGACAACCTCCTCGTAAGCTCCCCATTACTGAAAATGAACTTGAGCTGTTGTAAGCATTTATGAAATTTCATCAGCGGAAATCGTCCACTAAAGATCAGTAGAGGCATACGATTAAACGAATGCGAGTGCATCTCGATTACGAGTGTGAAAAGTACCCATCTTTATACGCTGCTTCATGGGCAGTTCGGATCGCATATGGTATCTGAATAGCAAGAGACTGACCTGAGTATTACTGGTTGAGAAGACGGAGGTGAGTAATCCTGTGTCCGGTCGAGCCAGTGAGAGCGGATCGTAGTGTATACCGTCATACATGAGCAGAATGCGATATTGGTAATTGTGATCCTCTCCAAATCGGTCAATTCGACCAGTTTGGATGTCAACGACGCAAATTTCCATTTCGTATACTTGCGATAGGATGGCCACTTCGATACCCCCGCCCCACCTGTCCGGCTTAAGTAACAAAAGAGGAAAATGAGAGGCAGCATGTACAGTTGGAGTTCACTCCACGGCGGTGATATCAACAAGAATAGAAAAGTATGCACATAAAAACAGTTTAGAGTGAAGTAGGAATGAGCATGCTCAATATGAAAAGGTGAAGAGCATATGAACATGAAACTTAACTTGTAAATGTAGGAATGGCGAACAAACAAACTGATTACCCATCAGCATCATCAGGCACTGTGGACAGGGAGTTAGGCAGAAGTGTTCGTCTTCCAGTACGAACCTCCGTGTTAGGGTTCCGACAAATTCCGTAGCAGAAAAACCGCTATTTCCACAGAGTTCAAACTAATCTTTACGGTTGAGGAAGCAAAGCGCTCACCCGGCCGGAATATGTATAGTTTCCAGGAACTAAGAGGTGCTTACTAGGCAAGTCGATGTGTTTGGGTGTACAACGCAGTGTTTAGGGAGTATAGAGACGGGGAGTAACGAGGAATGTAGTGAACAGGCGAAGTAACGGTTAGCATAGGATTTATATACGCACGTTTAGTGGTGATGCGAAAAAAATCTTATTGTGGCACAGTAAATGTCCTGGTACTCATTAGACCAATCGGTCGAAGTAAATGCACGAATTTAGGTGACTATTTGGATGGACAACGCTAGCACCAACCTACCTTCCATAATTCCTAGCTTGTTAGGCGGCGACTACAATACTATTGGAGTACTGCGAGCTTCAGCTATCTTCCCACATTACCCATTGAATTCTTATCATGAAAAGCCCCTTATCAGGTCACATTGTCCGTTTCTCTGTTAGCGCTCAACATTCGCCCTCTCATACAGATAGATAAGCAGGCTGCACTCGCAGGAACATTAGACACCATGCGTGTTGATGTCTGTTGCGCATGTCGAACGTGTAAACTGGAAGTCTGGAAACTATACCTAAATTATTGTAATTAGAAAGGAATGAAGGGTTGATAACGCTCCAAATGCCGTCAGTATGAGAGCATCCTTATTTCAAGGGATAATCTATAAGATAGCAAGGCATAGGAACTACGAGGCAATACTGTATGTCCATGCAGGCCTCAGTTGAGAGAATCATGGGAGCCACCACCATGATCTCGATGCCAATGGAGTAATAATGGACACAAACTGGTCGAAAAACCTACATCACACCTTGTAAAGCTAAATGTTCGCATAAGTGACATGTGTGTTGGCGACCACGCTGTGTAAGATGAATGGTTGTTAATTATCTGCCAGCATGGGAAAGCATTGGAGCCACGTTGCACAGTGGATGATTGATGCTTTTAAGGCCAGTTGGTCGCACCTGGAAAAGGCGTGGTGTAGTATCAAGTAGCCGGGAGCTGGTTACGGCGACAGCTTTAATTCGAATATCATGATGAAAGGCTAGGGGAAAAACTGAGAAGACGCGAAGGACGATTCGAATGGCAACCATAAGTGGGATAGGGAGCAAGTGGCCTGGCGTCGAGGGGGTGATTAAAAGAGACAAAATAGCAACGCAGTCTACTCGACATATTCACAGGCATGCATACCGGGAAGGAACAAAGCCCATTAGAGAAAGAGTAGGCCGATGGCACAAGTGTGAGACGCCAGTCTTTCACCCGGGATAACGGAGATTGACTACAAAACTGAAGTTTGGAATATCCGGTAAGGATTTTTAAATAGACTGCAGCGACGTGTGAATGCGTTGAGTATACTGGAGTATTAACACGTGAAACGCAAAAAGACGGTGAAAGTGGAGAGTCGAGTCAACTGTGATAAACTCGTGGACGAGGAGAACGTGTACTTCACCAAAAATGCGTAATTCTTTATTTTCTCCAGTGGTTCTGGTCTACCACGATAAGTGTATAAAACACATATATATCACACCGTTTATTGTTCTAGACATGGATTATTATCAAATTTTGTCCTTGAGTGTTTTTTATCCCGTGGAATAAGTTTATCGACTATTTGGTATAAAGTGACACTAGAAAAGGGAACTAATGGGATTAAAGCCCACGCGTTGTCTTAACACCCAAATATTAACAGCGCCTTCATAATAGCTAATATTTTCATCAGACTCTTCAGATATAGGGGGTGTGGACAGGTGCAAGGTTCTAACCTCAACCGATAGACTTTATCGGCTGATGCCAAACCTTTCTGATTTCCAACGTTGGTGATAGATACGTGCGGCATGGACGAGAGTAAGGACTAGAAGAGAATACGATGACTGACAGAAACTTTGGATCAGAGTGGTGTAGTGGAGCGGAAAGAGATTACTGGGGCATGGTTGGCAGCATCCGATTTCGGATTTGCTTGTCACTGTGGCCTCCTCAGGGAGAGCCACAGCTCGCCTGCGTCTACAGAAGGAAGGACCATGGGTGGCTTGCGCTGCACCACCCACTGCCCCATCCACACATCCAGTGTAAACCCGAAGGAATAAGACCGGGAGGCATGTGGATAGGAGTCACGTTTCATCAACCGAGCCAGCCCACACTCCTTCAAACGCAAACACAAGCACGCTGTATTTGGGGAATCAACCGCACACAAGGCGGTGGCTGGACCGTAGTCCGCTCCACACTGAGTGCATGGAACCGCTCTTTGAGCCTAGCACGGCCACAAGGACCGTGCACCCCGTCCCCTCCAGTAACGACTGGGACATGCGTATGAGAAAATGTGTTCCAAAAATATGTGAATACTCTATGTGCTGTTTACTAAGGTCGCGTCATAATCTACGGTGAATTTTTGAGCACCTTTCTGGCAACAAGTGGAGTTTTTATGAGCAGCCCAATCTCATAACCTTTGTTCAACTTCGTCGTGGACTTTAGTATGGAGTGTACCCACAAGGAATCTCAAAATATGAAGATTGAAATTTCACCTGGTGGAAGTTAAGTTGAGGTGGATCACGCTTTCCACTGTTTGAAAATTGTAATGTAGTCCATTCAGTCATAGGTAAGTCCCTGGAGTGTCATATTATTTGACATGCGCTTCGCACCTTGAGAGTGCAGTATCGTTGCCGGACCAACAGTCACTTGATGACCCCCTGGGTGTCCATGACGAGGAACTAAAATAGATCAACAATTAACATACACAATGCCAACTGTATTCGCAGTGGTTGACGTACTGCGAAGTTATACCCATCTAGAAAGTGCAACATCCGTGGTACCAGAAGGGAAATATTTCTTCAATCTGAAGGGTCATGTATACAAGGATCTGCGGTGCTTACAAGTCTTCGAGCATCGATACCTAAGGAGCATCGCTAGTGTCTAATTGCACCGTCGTCGTGGACGGTACAACGATGATGTGCACAGACGAATAATAAGTGGCGACAACCACGTCAGTACTGTAGAACAACAAATGGAATTGAATAAGTAATATTTAACCCGGACATGTATTACCGTATATATATATATATATATATATATATATATATATATATATATATATATATATATATATATATAGAGCAGCATCCGGTTTCGGATTTGCCTGTCACTGTGATCAGCCACAGGACGCCTGCGCCTACAGGGGGACCATGGGTGGCTTGCGCTGCACCACCCACAGCTCCAACCACACACCTCATATCCAGTGTAAACCCGAAGGAATATGACCGGGAGGCATGTGGATGGGAGCCACGTTTCATCAACGGAGCCGGCCCACACTCCTTCACAGGCAAACACAAGCACGCTGTATTTGAGGAATCAAGCGCACACAAGGCGGTGGCTGGACCGTAGTCCGCTCCACACTGAGTGCATGGAACCACTCTTCGAGCCTAGCACGACCATAAGGACCGTGCACCCCGTCCCCTCCAGCAACGACCAACTGTCTCCTAGAGCCAGTATGGACGAGGTAGTGGGTAATAGACAGGTAGGCACCTTGTCAACATGCATATCAAGCGCAGCCACACCGGGGATGTCAAACAACAGCCAATCACTTGAAATGACATTATCAAATAAAATATATCTGTTAAAGAATACGGCTATGCAGACATAACTCTTCGCTAAATTAGCATATGAAGTAAGTTGGTTAGCAAGGAATCCGCGATAAGTACAAAATGTCCAGAAGTTACTCAAAAAATGCTACAAACGCAATAAAGTTAACGAAGATAACCACAATTAGCGTAAGCAACGTGGCCAGTTAATAGAAGATTAGTCAGGTAGGCAGAACAAACCAAATAAAGTGGAATGAAATTTATCCAGCTTAAAAAGACCTAGTTTAAGTGTAAGTTGGTTTAGCCCAACTGCGGTGAAGAAGCATCATGAATGCAACATCAGCCTCAGCATAGGGCATATATATATATATATATATATATATATATATATATATATATATCGTAGCAAAGGTCCATTAAATAGACAATGAGCCATCTATCCCGGATTTAGGATGGCACAAGGCCCCAGGTGGCAAAAGTTAATCTTGTAGCGGAAAAAGAAGTTATGAACGATTGAACTGGGTACTTTTGGTCCATCTCACTTTCCAGGCTGGAGTCCTCGCTACCATGTGCTTGTCTCAAGTGTTTACACGACACGACTCGCAGCAGGTACCAGTGGCGCGTTTGTTGTCGTCTCCTAATCCGGCACCTAAATAAAGTGTGTGATGCTGAGCGATCTGCAGGGCAATGGATGATTATGACGCGGAGGCAGTGAAAGCCGCAAAGAAGCCGTCTCACCAATTTCACCTTATCTTCGGTGTGTGTTGACAGGGTGTAAGCGCATTGCCCCGCGTATTTGCTTAAGGTGTTTGAGTGTTACACATAGTCCCTAAGTAGCTGCATGGTGGCGAAGCGCCAGTACAAATTACTGATATATTCCAGCCGTTGGTGATGATGGTGCGACATATGACCAGCTAAGGCGGTCAAGCCTTCCCCGACGGCAGTTTTAGTGGTAGTTCGCGCTACGTGACATTTAGCATAGTGAGTGGCAGTACGTAGCGCAAGGTCCGATAACTATGGCAGAATCATACGTATTGTCAAAGTCCTCAGTTGTCGATCCCGTGTGAAGCACAACTACTGATGA